AATGCTTAGGAGAAGGATGACTTTTGTGCTTGTTGAAATAATTCATGACTGCTCTGTGGTAAGGCTGCAGACCTTATTCATCACTCTTGTATTCTAGTTTCATGCCAGTGAAATGAGACTGATTTCCATGAGTCTGGCATGGAGCTGGAATAACAAGGTGGTGAATCAGGCAGTATAATTCCTTTCTGAGAATCATGTGATGTAAACAAATACATTCAGACTCTCATTTGAGGTTTGTAATGTCCCCAGCTTCTTCCAAAATAGATTATGTTTACCAGAATGCAAGTTTTAAAGAAATTTTGATCTGTGAAGCTTGTGAAAGGTGGTTTTATTTCATATTCTTATGGCTGTGCAGCTTAAAGTCGGTTCTTAGATTCTGTATGATCAGAGATGTTTGGATCAGATGCTGCTGTGTGCATCAGGAGGTAAACAATGATTGTTCTTTTCATTTAGTGGCTGACTTTGAGCACCATGAGGAAGGATTTGGTCTAACAAAGGAGATTGCTGCCCCTACTCTCAGTACTAGTAATGGCTACTTGAATATTGAAGGTGGAAAATACAAGGTTATTTAGAAAACTGATTTACCTGGGAAAAAAAATTAAATGTCCAAAGAGCAGATTCATTTGGCCTGCAGTATTTTAATGAAGCACAAAGGGCTGGTTACAGACAGGAGCTAGCTGGGAAAGGCTGTGCTATGATCTCTGGGACAGAGGGACAAGAGGTCCCTTGGTGACAGCACTGTCAGCACAGTGTGGGACCTTCCCCAAGCTACACAGCTGAGCTGCAAGCTCCTGACAGGGCAGATAGGCAGGCAAATGCCTCTGTGTATGGCAAATTCCTCCCTGCCCTATGTTTTCATTAATGCCTGCTATACAAATCTGGTTATTAGTGCTCCCTGAAGGGGCAGGCAGTCATTTGGATGCTGGTGAGTGAGCGGATGCAGCAGCAGCAGCTCTCTCCTGTCAGCATTGAGCGAGGAGGGGAGCAGAGCTCCCGGCCCCGCCTGCCCCAGCAGCTGCACTCGGGAGCTAATGAGCTGCTCTGCAGTGGGAATATTGTCAGAAACACATACTCACTCCAGGAGGGCTTACCAGGATATGTCTTTGTAATTAAATGTAATGACATCTAAACCTGTAGTCAAGTTCTTGCTGATAAACACTGGCAAATAAAAACCAGCAAGTGAAAATCAAACAATTAGCTATGTAAGCAGTTGTATGATGGTCTTTCCTGAATTTTTTCCTTTTCCTACCTCAGTGGTTTAGTAAAAAGTGATGAGAAGCTAGCTGATGTGGCAATATGTAGTTAGGAGTCTGGCAAAAAGAAAACATTAAATACTGTTTGATCTTGTTCTGTCTTCTAGAAGAAAGGAAGAGTGGTTGTGATAGCAGACAAAACAAGTATTATGTTGGTCAGTTTCTAAATCAGAATTCAGAGAGCTAGTTTTACAAATACCAATGACTGATACAGATTGTGGTGGTCAAACACCAGTGAGGTAAAGTGAAAGATCAAAAAATATTTATTTTCTTTTACTGATGGAAAAATTAAAATGTGAAAGGACTGAAAGATAATTTTTAGAAAATTTCATCTTTTTCTTCATCTTTTCTAAGTGGCAGCAGAATGAAGGATTATTTTCTGGTTTTAGTTTCTAAAATTGCCTGAGTCCAAATCTATCAGCCCTCTGTGATTTTTATCTGCTCAGCTATGTTTTCCCAAGGAAAATTCCAAACTTTCTACAAGAAGCTTTCTCCAACAATTATACCAGCTTCTTACTGAGTTTCTTTTGTGTAAAAACTGGCCCCTCTGACCTGTTCTGTTTCTCCAGTGCCTGACTGAAACCCCCCAGAAAAGGCTTTTATTGGCTCTTGCTGAGGGGAAAGCAAGCAGGGTACTTAGCTGGATGAGATAAGCCTTTGCTGGATGAGACCTCTGCAGAGCCCATGGGTGACATCAGAGGGCAGCTCCTTTAAAACAGGTCACCTCTCACCCTGCCTGGCTGCTCTGAGTGCATTAACATTGTCCAGGGGGAGAAGCAAGGCAGGTGAATGTTGATCTCACTCTAAAAGGACCACAAAGCTTCCCCCAGCACAGACACGATGTTTGCACAGCAGGGCAGGTCTGTGGAGGGAGGGATCTGCACCACCAAGCAGATTCCATTCCAGCTGCAATCAGCCTCCTTCCTCTGGGCTCTTCTCTGACTTCAGATGAGGGCACCTCTGGGGGAGCTCAGCTCTTAGATCAGCTGGGCTGGGGGATGTGCCATGTCAGGCTGCTGTAAAAACATGCTTTCATTAACTAATTTAAACTGTGCTATAAGGTAACTTTATAAAGCATTATAAGTTACACTGGAAAATGCCTCTTTGTCCAAGGAAGACTGTTCACCCAATTATTAATATAATCTTTCAGTCAGACCAAGATGCCTCCAAGTTTATGGCCAGGCAGAGAACTCCTGACTGAGCACCAGCCCACACTGCACTCCAGCTCCACTCTCTGTCACCCCTAAATTTCCCCTTTTACTGTTGGTACAATGTCCCCATCTCTTAGCACTACTTCAGTTACTCACAAGATCTTCTATCTTCATTCCATGTTCCCCTTGCCTTTCTTCTCCTCCTCGTCCTCCCTACATAGAGGCTTTGTTTGTTTTATCCTCTCTGCCTCGGTCTATGGCATTCTGGGATTTAGGCTTCCCTTGTTCCCATTCCTTGTCACCTCTCCTTAAAAATCTATATTCTTGATTGTGTCTTATCCATCAAAATACCTGTCAAAAATTAGCATGTGATCCTCCTTCTGTCCTCAAAAAGAAACTCATGTCAGAATGCATCCTTGCCCAAACTTCATCTCCAGCCAGCTGTACCTTTCCCTTCATCTCACAACTCACCTGAAACACTTTATGGTTCCTGCCTGCAGTTTGTATCTTTCAGTTCCACAGGTTACTTTCCAGTTTCTGTTTACTGATTTGGAAAATTGTTTGTTTATGTGATTTTACAGGTTGTTCTTAAATGTCCACATTGTCTGATGCTTCCCATTGGCACTATTTGCTGTGTGGATATGAATGGTTTCTGTAACTCCATACAGACGAGTCCTTATTCCCAAAGTTGCCTGTCATATAAAGGCTGCTGGGTGAAGGGAAAGGCTGTAAATGTGGCAGTTCTGACAATTTTAATGTCACATCACTCAGAACACCAAATGTGTGAGCCCAAAGGGTTGGAGTTGTGCACATTCTCAGGATCAAGACCTGAAACACAACAAAGCTACTGATGTCAGTTTTTGTTCCTTATGCAAGCATCAGCTTGGGTTCACAAAATATATTTTTAATCTGGGCAAATTTAGATTTTCAGGAAGGAATGGGGCATAACTTACTCTTCATTGTTCTTTGCTGAAAGTCCCTGATTTATTCAAATTTCCGCATTTAAGCTGAATCCAGTATCCTGAATTATAAAAAAAGTTTAATGTTGACTAACTGATGTGTTGGTATGCAACCAATAAGAAAGGCTTCAAGCACATAAATAATCATCCATTTAACCAGCCTGGCTTCATACCCCGAAGTGTTTTATGGGCTGGAATACACACTTCTATACTGAAATAGACATTGCTATACTTATTTGCAGGTAGGGAAGTCCAGGAGGAGATCAGTGACCTTGCCAAAGTTCACGCAAATGTCAATGGCAGGAAACTCCTGATTGTCTTGTCTAATTCTGTATCTGTGGGATCATGCTTTAGTAATCAGGCCTGTTTTCAACTACACTTTTTAACCCTGAGTATGAGTGATTTGAATATCTTTCAGAAAGAGATAATGGGAAATACTTATATTGAAAAATCTGGTAAATCAATTAATGTTTGCAAGATGCACAAAGACAATGGTAAAGAATGCAATAGAAAATGTGATTGATCCAGCTGCATGGACTGGCTTGTCCCCTCATACACAGCACACCCCAAGAGGCCAATATCTAGAGAATAAGACAGATGAAATGATATTGCCTAGGCCTAATTCTTTGCTCAGACCAGTGGTTACAGGTCTGTCCCACCTCAGTGAAAATTACACAGATATCTGCCAGTGGAAAATTTTAGAAGGCCCATTGCAACAGTGAGAGATTGATGTCTATGTTTTTAATGACATTTTTAATGACATTTTATTTTAGGACTCCAGACTACTGGGTACCAAATATCCTGCATGATCTTTGCCAAATATTTGCGAAATCATCAGCAGAAGACAGATACTTTCTGGCCATTAACCACATGAAGACAACAGCAGCAAAATAATTTAGCTCATACAAAAACTGGTTACATGCCATGGTTAGGAAGAACCTTGAGCCTCCTCTGTGTCATACAATCTTAGCTGTTCATACAGATTCTCACAGGCACTTATTTTTAATAGAAATCTCAAGTTCTGCCAATTCTTCCATACATATAGTCTAAAGCAAATTAAGGCAACAAAAGTAAAACGTTTCAGGAAAAGTTTAAGTCTGGTAATGTCATAAATTTTTTAAGGTGAAAGACCACTCTTTGTTAAGCTTTGTTTTGTTAATTTTACATATTACTGCAAGGCACTTTTCAGTACCAGCATTAGTATATTGATAACTTATCTGAGGTGAGGTTCTTGTTATTATTTGAGTGCAGTAGAACCCTTTGTGAGTTTGCTTCACACCATTTGCCAACCATAGAAGAAAGCTCAGTCCCTGGGCAAAGCAGCCTGCACCCTGACAGCCCCAGTTGCAGAGCCCTGCTGCCAGCCAGGACAAAGGACCTGCTGCTGAAGGAACTCCATTGCTCACTGTTATTCACAGACAAAAATGGGAGTTAAGTGCTTCACATGCGGTGCTTATGTCTAAATGCTAATCAGGGCCTCTGGCTTTCTGAGACACACAAATGAGAAAGAAAAGCTGTAAATTAGAAGGTCAATTTCTTATTTACAGCAGTGCTGTAGGTTCATGGCAGAGTTACAAATGTTAGCCCTGAGAAATGCTTCTGCACTAACTTTTCCCTTTTCATGTGTTTTTCTCTAGAAAAAGACGAGAAGAGAACAAACATCTCACAGGCAGAGGTAAGTGATTTTACTTTGTTTTAAACATACTTATGGCTAAAATAGTTCTATTGATAAAAACTCTTGGAAACTCACTGGTTCACCCCAATGGATACTTTTATTTACATTGCCACGCCTCCTGCAGTAACACATAATTTTCAAAGCAGGGCTGTGTAAAGCTGTATTGTGTGTTCTGCCAGCTCCCTGTACAGGGATCTGGTAGAGGCAAGCTTCCCCTCTCCTTGCTGCCATGCCCTGTCAAAGCACAGCAAAGCCAAGGTGGCCCTGCCAGCTCACCCCACCCAAGCGTTGCTGTGGATCTGCAGCTCAGTGCTGGGCACAAACACCTCTCCACTCTCTCCATCACTTGTCATGCCTACAGCAGGCAGTGCAGTCATGTTGTCTGCACAAGAGTTGAAAGCTGGCTCCTCTGATCTCATTTTCTAACCTCCCCTTGCATGGTTCCTCCAATTCCCTGATCTCTTTCTCCTTCACCCACTGCTCAGAGCAGCGGGCAGCACCTTAAATAGCAGCAGGAGGTATTGATTGGTTCAAATTTGAACTCCAATACAAACATATAAAGATTTACTGGCATGAGGTTCACCAAGCTATCCCATAGTGTTTATAAATAGCTTTCTCTTTCCAAAGAAGAAAATATTTTATTTATAAATGCTATCATTCTATCCACTGTGATAAGCTAAGTTAATAGGATTAGCCCTACTTGTGTGAAACGTGTTTCAAATGTTCCATGGAGAAATAGATCTGATTAAAATTCATGGTGTATATATTAGGCATTTTTAGCAAATGTTTGGGCTAAGGCAACAACATTGCTACAACTAGAAATTGATAAAATGAGGAGGGGAAAATGCTTGGTTACACACAATTTTTCCTTAACCTTTTGGTTAGGAGTGTAATGTGGTGCTTATGTCTTCCAAAGCTAGCTGAGGGTGTACTGTATGAGGTTTTCTTGTCCTTTTTATGTAGACATAATGCATGTTGGTATAATATTGACACCAATTTAGCTGCTTTCAATTTGCAAAAGCTGCTCTGCTTTTGCAAAAGCACTGAATATACTCCAGTTAGTTTTTGCTACCTAAACACTGATATAATGTAGTAATACTATTATTACTCTATGTGTATTGGTATAATATAATAATACTATTATTACTTTATGTGAATTTTACTTCCATTATTTTGGAATAATTTATCTTTTGTGCACAGATGTGATTTTGGGGCCACAAAGAGTAACTAAATACAACACTCAAATGAGGCTCAGTTAAATGCTGAGTGATTGGCTGCTGAAATTATTATCTTGAGTTTAATAGAACACATTGAAAAGGTACAGGGGAAGGGATTTTCCACTAATTTATATTAAAATGTATATAGTAACATTTCAGTAGTATCTTACACATGCACATAATCACTGATTACACTGTAATTGAAATGTTGGCTAATGTAAACCTTGCAACTATTTTAATATACATAGACATTCATTTGCATTATGAGAATCAATTGCACAGGCTGTTAAAAGCACAGGCTATCCTAATTTTATGTTTAACAATGTTTGTATAGAGTGAAGAGTAATTTTCAGTAGTATTGGGTCTATTTTACCTGGGAGTCACAAATGGAGCTGTCCATTAAACAGATGTTTTTGTCTTATTTATCCTGTATACATGGCAGCCCGGGAGCTGCATTCAGTTGTACACGGAATGTTTTCCTCAGAGGCTCTGTGGTGGGCACCCAGGTGGGTGCCCAGGGAGCTGCCAGGAGCAGAAAGCTCTGTCTGTGCCGTGTCTCACTGCCCTCTCTGTCTGTCCCTGCAGTCGCAGAGTGCCTCTCCCAAGCAGAGGAAGCAGAGCGTCTTCACCCCTCCTGCCCTCAAAGGTACTGTCAGCTCCTGCCCAGCCTGCCCTGCCTCGGGGGCTCCTCTGGTGGGGGGACAGCGGGACCAGAGCAGTGCCACAGGGCCCTGCCCGGCCATCACTGCCCTCACACTCTGCTCTCACTGCCCACCTGCCCGGGGCTGACCATCCCTCCATCCTCAGCACTGAATCTTGCTGCAGTTGCAAATTTATTTGTTGGGGGAAAAAAAAAGGTTTTGTGGTTTGATTAGTTAGCTAGAACAGATAATTCAATGCCTAGCTATGAACAGAGCTTCTTGAATATGTAAATTCTATTGGTGCCAAAGAGTTCTCTGTTTCTTATTTGAAACCACTCCCCCATATTCTGCCTCTCATTTCCAGGCAGCTGTGAAAAGGAGAACAACCGGAACCGTGGTCTGGGTATGTGACAGTAGGGTGTGTGAAGACTTTCTTGGAAAATAAGTAAAAATTAGTAGTCTTGATAAAAGTTTTGAGGGATAACATGCTTTTTAGGAATATGTTCAAGAGCAGCAGGAATATCACCTGGAATCAAAATAGCTACATTTAGGCCTTGCTTCTTATGTAGTTCTGAACAGAATTTGACTTGATGGTGATTCACCAGCCCTTCTGACTGACACTTGTCAGAGCTGGATTATTATCAGACTGCAGTCTAAAGGCCATCCTGCCAGGTCTCTTGATAGATAATGAATATGTAAATTTCCATTTGTCTGCTTAACACAGTTTATTACCTGGGATATCTGATTAGTTGTGTGAAATACTGCTGCTGTCATGAGGCAATCTACCATATCAGCCAGTTCTATGCATCTCATTCTGTAGCTGCAGTTCTCTAGTACTTGTCCTCAAATAAAATATCACCCATCTGCCACACAAGACTCTGTTTGCCAAAATAGGCTCAAGTCCGTGTGCTGGATATTAGAAATAATCTTATGACATCCAATTTCAATGTTTTTTCTGGAAGGAAAATGCTTTGCATGGATAGCAATACCTATTGATCTCACTGCTGCATTATTTTGCTGTACAAGCCTAAACTAAATACTGTGCAAATGAAGTGCAGTGTAAAACAGGTCCTCAAGGCTCCTCTCAAGAACTGCATGCCTTAGCATCCCTGGAAGTGTCCAAGGCCAGGCTGGTTGGGCCTCTGGGAAACCTGGTCTAGTGGGAGTGGCCCTGTCCATGGAAGGGGGGCTAGAATGAGGTGATCTTTATTGTCTTTTCCAACCCAAACCATTCTATGAGTCTGTGATTCTATTCTTTGGTATTTAGGGGGGCATATTTTTTCCTTCTGCCATTGCACTTATTAAACTAAAACTCAACATTATTATCTGTCTAAGACAATCCCCAAATATTTCAGTTTTATAATTACAAATGCTTCCTCTAGCTCCAGGCTGGGCTGTGGCTGCTGCAGCAAGCTGTAGCAAACCTGGTGCAACAGGCAGGTTCTTATTACTGTATATCTCTGTGTACTTTGGCTCCTGCTTTTATTTTCCTAAACAAAAACACACCAGAGTTCCTACAGACAGAACAAATAGCTGACTCATCTCAGAGCATTGCTCTTTTTACTGGAATACAATGTGCTGGAAAAATCAATGTGAGAGCTATTGATTGAAGTAGTAATCTGGAGAGGGACTCAGCCAGCCAACCAGATAACAGCTGGGCATGGTGTACTTCTTAGTGTTCTATTACCAAACCTAATGGATATCAAAGAGGTTTTCCATTTTGCTTTCATAGATATTTCTTTCCTAACGTGCCTCACTAGTGGTAATTCCATGTTGAATTCCATGCTGGTATGTAGCATGCAATGTTGCAAAAGTCAGTGTCTGAAGATTGCATCAAATGAATCCATCCTATTTTCTGTGTGTTGTGATTCAGCTCTTGTCTTTTCATCGTTTTTTTCTGTGTTAAGCAGCAATCTTAACTGAGCATTCATCACCTATAGTTCCCCTCTTTGTGTCAGTTTTTCTTCTGTTACTCATGTGCTTTTATGCCTTAACTTCAAATTTTCTCATCCTTTAAGGTCTTCTTCTTCAAGTGTGAAGGTTGGCTTGAACCTCCCTATGAAAAATACCATAAAAACAACCACAGGAATGTTTTTCAATTTGAATAGTCACCACTTTTGCCTTGGGCAATCTTTTCCAGTCAGTTCTCAATGTGTAAGGCTTTTTTTTCCTATTTACTAATCTGCTTCTTGTTCATCTTTTGTATGACAAAACCAAGAAGAATCCTTTGATCCTTTTCCAAAGTAGATGTCCAGTTGTTTTAGCACAAAGGTCCATCCATCTATCAAAGCACAAACAGCATCCTTAGAACTGTCTTCATCATTCTGCTTGATGGGCTAGAGGAGCCCCTGGAAGTCTTACTGGAGGCTCATTTTTTACCCTCATGCTTTCCAGAGAAGTCTAAAATGGGATGTTAACCCTTCCAGATAGAGAGGGACCAAGTGAAAGCATCTTAGACTGCCAAGGCAGAAGTGCAGGATTGCACCCGCCCCAGGCGAAGGTGCTTCCTTGGTGTCTCATTACCCCTTGAAAATCAGAAGAGCACATTTGAGGCTCAGAGCTGCAGCTTTCCATGCCAGGGCGTGCTTCGTGCTCAGGCAAGTTTCCTTTCCTTTCCTCAGGTAGTCATGTTTGTTTTGGTAGCTCGGCTCATCCTTGGAAGGAAATGCAGACGGCAGTGGCAGGAAGCAAGGTTTACAAAGACTGACAGAAGACAGGCTGAGCTGTTACCAAACCTGCATTGCTCCCTAGAGGTCCCAAATCCCCACATTATCTCCCAGCTATTGCTATTAATACTAGTGGCTATTTAAACACCATCAAGGTCTCCCCCTGTGAAGGAAGTGCACGTTCCCAAGTGATTTGAGGATTTCATTAGCAGTGAGTCTACTAGCCTGGATGTGCTAGAGGGCAGGGAAATAGGAAAACTTCACTCATCTTAGTTCACTCAGCAAGAGGCTGTTTAGATCAGATCAAGATCCTGCTAATTTCAGCAGGCTTTAAAGAAAGTTACTGTAGCTGTCTGTGTTCACTGGACCACCTTTGCAATGAGGAGACATCAAACGATAATTAAAGGCATTCCCCACACAAGTAAGAGATACATTTTACTGTTTTCCCTCTCAGCCTTTTGGGAAATAAATGCTTTAAATTCCCCTCCTAATGTATTTTTCTTTGCATAAAAACAAAGGCTTTTTCCTGAGCTAGGCCCCAGCTACAAGATTTGAAATGGGATTAAATCAGAGCTGTTATAAATCTAAGGAACATTCAAAGACATTATTTTGGTTTGAGTCATTAAAACAACCAGAACTCACTGGCTTTTCCCAAAGTGTTCAGACCCAGGGATTTGATACATGCATAATTCTAGTATTTACAATGATGGTTGATATTAAATGAGCTCTTTCTAGCTTCTGCCATGAATTTCAGATGCTCTGCTTGTTTAGTGTCTGCTTGTTCTTCTCTCCAAAGGAAACAACATGCAGAATAAATGATTAAAATCATGATGTCCCTCCTGAAATATGTAATTTATTAGAAGCAATTAGTACAGTGTGTGGCCCTCATCCAAATTTGTAACCCCTTAGGCCAGCCTGACGATGTCTGATGCATCTCATTACTTTGTGACTGAAGGTTAACACGAACATGGGTAGAGTCTGGAGACATTCAAGATTATTGTTAGTATGGTAAGCACTGAGTTTGGAGCCCATGAGAATCATTGTGGAACAAAAATCTCAGCCTAAATTTACTTCAAGTGGCACAGGAATGAAGTTTCTAAGATTTTAGCAGTCACTACAAAAACTTGTATCAATTTACAGGCTGCCTTTTTACATGGCAAACTCTGCAAAGAGCTTCTCGTGTTAACTAAACACAGTAGTGTAAGAACATTCCCACTATGCTAGAAAGAAAAATACCATGTCTTTTTTTGCTTCTGCTTCATACATGGGTTTAAATTTAATTTTTAGGAAATTAATGTTAGCCTTAACATCAGCATCTTACACAGTCTTCTAAACATCAAGGCCAGGCTCACAAATTGAGCTGGTGCCCAGTCAAACTTTTCTTCTGTGGGTGAGTCACTTTGACTCAGCCTATTACATTTTTCCAATCTCTCCAATGATGATCCTTTTTCAAAGATGATTGTGCTGCACATCAGTCATGTGGCCAGAACAGGAGATGGAGATGGTTTTCCATTATCCTCTCAGTGCTGAGTGGTATTTTGGACCTCCTTCCTTTTCCAGTAGGCTAAATGCTGTGATAACTGCTGGGCAGGGGGCAAGGACTACTGCACAAAACCAGGTTAATTCCAGTGGCTGGAGCAATTCCTGAGGTTGATTCTTTCCCCTTAGCAGAGCTGCCATGTCTCTGGAGAAACATCTGTTCTTTAGCCTGGTAGTACCAGCTCTTCACCACATTCCTTTTAAGTAGAAAATCTGTCTCAGTAAGTTGTTTCTTGGGTAACAGAAGGCTAAACTCTGCCTTGTTTTCATGTGCACTGCTCTGGTTTGTTCATGTGTTGTGATGTGACAAAATGCCATCAATGCACTTCATTTCCTGGGTGGAAGGCCCACAACTGTCTGGACCTGCTGAAGAACTGGGAATAGAAGATTTATGCTTCGGTATTGTATCATTGTGTTTTTTCCTTGTCCCTAACTTGGTCACAAGAGGTGCAGCTTTGTTTCCCAAACTTCTTGTTCTCATCATTTATATGCTGTTCTCATCCCCATCTTAGTCAGTGCCCCTCGATACAACCACACAACTTGACGCAGAATGGCCTTGAATGAATTTCCTGGCTTTCTTTACCAAGATAGTACCTTCTAGTATCTGGTCTCTTTCCTCCTCTCTCTACCCTCCTCTCTCCTTCCTCAGACTTGAACAGTAGGATGACGACAGTAGATATAATTAAGGGGGAAAAAAAAGTTAAATTAATTAGTGAATCACTGAGTTGGTGACAGGGATACATCAGATTGCTGCCATCTCAAGTTCAGCTGGCTGCCACTGCTATGGTACTGCCCAACAC